CGGCTAATTACCATGTTTCTCTTTTATTAGATAGGATCCATTGAGAGGGTTAATAATATTATGCCTTGAAGGTTTGTTGTGGAGGATTTAATAATAAAATGGATATAAGCAGTAGAAGAGTTAACTCACGATAAACATTCAATATATATCAACTGTTATTGTTACTCTTATTTTCGTAGCACCTCATATTGTATTGTGATTGTTCTGTTGACTGTTTCTGCTACTTTCTTTTAAACTGCTCAGTGTGGTGAATGTGTCACATTCATTTTTGTATCTCTCTTCACCTATTACTAGACAATGTTGGTTGAATGAATTAAAATGTTCTGTATAAGAATTATAAAAATGTACATTCATGAAATGTTTTTCTGTATAAATGTGTTGTCCATGGATTAGAGAATTAGGCAGACTCTTTGTTTCCCATTAAATTATTGAAAACTTACAAAGTGGCTGATAAGACAGTAAAATGAAAATAATTATATATCCTGAACTTTGGAATAAGAATTAAAATTAGTTACCTAAAAGATGTGAAAATAGTTTAAAAGACTTCTTAAATCTTATTTGGTCATAAAAGTATTTTTAGAGGTGATATTCTATTCCCATATTATTTTTTATTTTACTCATAGACCATGATTAAGAAAATGCTGTTAAAATTGACACACTGAGTTGAGTTTTATTCTGTGGATTTAGCTTGCAGGAGGGTTCCTACTTGTTGTCCCATGCAGCAGAAGATTCTTCACTCCTGATCTACAAGACCTCTGATGGAAAAGTTACTAGGACAGCATACAATTTGCATAAAACACATTGCAGCCTTCCTGCTGTACCTTCCAGTCTCTCAGTTCCCTGGGTTCCATTAGACCCCAATCTGTTGTTACCATATCATATACATCATGGAAGAATACCTTGTACTTTTCCACCTAAGTCACTGGGCCCCACAACACAACAAAAGGTAAGATCTTTTTTTAAAATAAATGTTCCATTGTGTTGTTTATTATTAATCTATTTCACCGAGTATATAGTGTTTCACCCTGATATCCACATTTGCCATATTAATCATAATACCATTGTAAAAACTTCATCCATAGGAAGGATAGATAAAGTTGTATGCTCTACTGAGTTCAGTTGTTATGTCAGGAAACTTTCTCTTTTTTTGTAAGCTTTATAAATCAACTAAAGGAAATTCTACTAGCTTGCCCAGGTGGGGGATGGGGAGACGGCATGAGTAAGGCATCCACATAGTTAAATTCTTGTGTTCCTATGAAAAGCAAAGTTATGTTTTTGGTAGTTTTGTTTATGATACTGCTTTACTTCATTAAATATTTGAGACAATTTACAGAAGAATACATACAATAAAATTATGATGCAATTAAAAATTGATAAGCAGGATATAAAAACATATAAAAATAAGTGTTAGTAATTAGGGAATGCAATGTGCCTTATTAAAAGTACAATAAAACACTCCCTCCCATGTGAGGATGCAACAAGAAGACAGCCGTCTACAAACCAGGACACAAGTCCTCACCAGAACAGAATTTGCCAGCACCTTGATCTTGTACTTTTCTGCCTCCAGAACTATGAGAAATAAATGTTTGTTTTCTAAGCCTCCCCCGACCACCCCCCCAAAAAAAAGTACAATAAAATGTTAAAGACTTTGTGTTTTGCTAAGTATTGTATAACTCAGTATTTATTGAATTATAATTAATGTTACTCTCTTTATAGAATCCTTCCCAGAAATACCAGTTGAATGATTTTTCTCTATCTGAAACGTCTGTAAAGCCATGACTAGAAATACTCTTTACCACGTCACTCATTCTTTATATCACGGAAGAAATTTCAATTTGAGTTTGGTTTTAGTAAAAGTTTTGTCCCCTACAAATATGAATATGACTGTTCAGTAAACAAAAACCCAGTGTATTTTCCTTCCCTGCTGCCAAAAATCTTTGAGTCAAAATCATTGTCTGAGTTCTATAATCTCTTTAACATGTGTGTCCCAGAACATATATCACTTGTCTATCCTGTGGATGTTTTCCATTCTTGTATTTTCTTTCTTTGTGAGTAAATATACTCAAGTCCTTTGAAAAATAGCTGAAATTTTTTTCCATAAGTTAGTGAATGGGGTGTTTATATGTTTTTCAGTTTCTAAATGTTACTGTTTGAGAAGATCTTTTTAGAAATGAGGACTCCTTACACATTCTTAGCTAACTTTGTTCAAGAAGATCTATAAATGTTAATTAGTTGCTAGTAGTGAAAGATTAGAGAAAGTTAGTTGTTAGCATTTTAAGTCATTTCATCTAAAATTTTGGTTGGCTATTTCTAGTTTACATGTAATATAAGTAGTGATTTTTATAACCTCCTAAAGCACAATTTTCTTAACAATAGTAATTGAAAACCATTTTTGAAGGATTTATATTATTTCTAGAATAATGATTTCCTTTTGATTTAGAAAGTCTGATGTTAGTTTCTCAATAATTCTCTGTGGAGTGGCTTATTCCTTTTAATACCTTGACACAATTCAATATGTCCAGGATTTGGCCACATAAATGCCAAGTTAAACAATTCAACTATATATATACTACTGAACACTTTGTTCATTTGTATTTTTTTAGGATGGTTCATGCAGCCTGGCTGGCATGGTTCAGTGATTGAGTGTCAACCTATGAACCAGGAAGTTGGTTCGATAACCAGTCAGGGCATATGCCTGGGTTGTGGGCTCGATCCCTAGTGTGGGGCATGCAGGAGTCAGCCAATCAATGATTCTCTCTCATCATTGATGTTTTTATCTCTCTCTCCCTTCTTCTCTGAAATCAATAAAAATATTTTTTTTAAAAAAAAGCTGCTTCATGCATTCAGTCCAAGGACAAATACTTAATGAGGTTATCCAAGGCCCGTTGTATAGCTTAGCATTAGGTACACTCGAAATTAGGTAACTAATGCTTGGTTTGATTTTTTCTCTAAGCCCATGGAAAGTTTTTGGTGACCTCTGACACACCTCCCTAATCTAACCCTACATTGGGTGGGAGTTACCCAACTTTCCTCCCTACTTCCTGCTAGTTAGGCCATAGAAATTGGATGTTTTAATCTAACCAAGGTAGGCACAGATAGGGATACTAGCATTAATAGCAATAGGAAAAGACCAAAGCTTCAGGAAACTTGGGGAAATAAGACACTATATGAAACAGAAATCATCTATTTCATGGTGTAAAAACTCATATAACAAATGTTTCTGCCTCTAATGTGATCCCCTAGTCTCTAGTCTACTTGAATTGAGATCTCATCTTCATGTAGTGCCTTAGGCACTAAAACCCTAAGAGTACCCCAGTAGAGCCTCCCTCTGCACAGAGCAGAGCTTAATAGGAGGATCCCATTTGCTTTTTGTGCTACTCCTGACTTCTGCTTCCAATCCTTTTGCAATGGGTCTGTGCCTATCCCTTTTCTTCTTCAGCAATCTCTAATAAACATTCATTGTACACACACACACACACACACACACACACACACACACACACACACACAGTCTTACAATGGAAATTTCAGAATGCTTGCTTTCCTCAGAGATATAGTAGATAACAGTGTGGTCAGTATACTTTTATTGTAAACTAGAGGCCCGGCACATGAAATTCGTGTGCGGGTACAATCCTTAGGCCTGGCCTGTGATCAGGGCCATCTTCTCCACCACCACCACCCCCAACTCCTCCCCCCCCCTTGTCCTTTGCCACCACCCACCCCCAGTTCCCCATTCATCATCAGGCAATTGGAGCCTGCTGGCCAGGGAAAGGGACCAAAAGGTGGTCAGTGCGCCTCATAGTAACTAGTCGAGCGATCTTGCTGGTCATTCTGCTATTAGGATCAATTTGTATATTATCCTTTTATTATATAGAATAGAGACCCGGTGCACAGGTGGGGGCCAGCCAGCCTGCCCTGATGGGGGCCCCGGATTGGGCTGGGGTTCCCCTGGGGGGTGGGGCTGGCTGGGGCAAGGGGCCGCAGGTGGTTTGCCAGCCTACCACGCCCCCGATCGGGGTGGGGGTCCCCACTGTGGGGCAGGGCAGCCGGGGCGAGGGGCCACAGTCATTCTGGTCTCTAGTCATTCTGCCGTTTTCGTCGCTGGGCTTTTATTATATAGGATACTAGCTGCAGTGGGGAGTAGTCTAGATAATCTAAAAGCCATAGCACTTTTCTTTTTTATTTTTTTATTATTATTTTTTTTTATTTTTATTTTTATTTTTTTTTATTGCTTAAAGCATTGCAAAGGGTATTACATATGTGTCCTTTTTTTTCCCCGCCCTTGACAATACCCCGGCTTCCCCTACCCCCCAGTGTCTTATGTCCATTGGTTATGCTCATATACATGCATAAAAGTCCTTCGGTGTATGTTACAAAAGTTCATCAGATTCAGACAGACTAGCAGACTCAGATCCCAACTCAAGTCTGTCCTTTCTAGTCATCTAATTGTAAACCAAAAAATGCCCCTAAAGGGACAAGATATTAGGTGAGAGAAGCTGGGATCTGCTTCATTCTTAGTGAGCGAGTAAACCTTTGGAACAATGCTAGTAATATGTCTGTTGGATTAGGAATAAGAGAGTGTTGGGAGTTCCAGTATCACCCATTACTCCAAGGTCTACACTTCACTGGACAAGATGTGAAGGGTACAAGGTGGCTAGGGAAAATAGAGGCAGAGCCCGGCCAGTGTGGCTCGGTGGTTGAGCGTCATCCCAGGAACCCAGAGGTCCCCGGTTTGATTCCTGGTCAGGGCACGTGTCCTGCAGGACACATGGCCTGCAGAAGGAAGCCAGTCAATGATATTTCTCTCTCATTGATGTTCCTCTCTCTCTGAAAATCAATAAAAACATATTTTTAAAAAGAAAAATAGAGGCAGATATGGACAGGTTCTGGGGGAAAGGTCTCAGGTTATGTAGCTTTGGTCCTCTGTGAGGCATGGCTCTCCATTAACCTATTTTAAAACTTTATGCTCTCTCAGTGGCCAAGGAGATGGCAGCATTTCCAGATCTCATCTTCAGAATGACTATAATTAGCAAGGGATTGTGTCTTAAGAATATATCTCTTCCCTAGACAGTGAAATATAGCTAGAAAGTGAGGATGAGCAGCAACTTGCACCGAAGAGTAGACATTAAGGCAGAACTAGCACCCCAAAAAGTTTCTTCCCCCATTTCCCTTCTTTCTCTTTTTCCGTCCTCTGTGGTCTCCTTCCATTTTGGAATTTCTCCCCCTTTACCAGCTTTAACCTTCTTGTATTTCCTTTCCCTCCCTTCATAGTTTTCATTTCTCTCGCCTGCCCTTCAGCTTTGTTATGGCAGACATGTTGCTAAAAAGGCCTGTAATTCCCTCATTTTCTAATTTAACATTTCAACCTCTTCCAAATTTAACATAGAAAGTGGTTTCCCCTCCACTTCTCTTCATCTACCCTGATCTTGAAAATTTAGTTCTTTAAAACTTTGTGAGATTAAAGCTTATTTAGAAGCAGCCAGGAGGTTAGGGATTTAAAAATATATAAAGGACCACTCACAAAGAAAGTAATACATGTGGTAATAATGACTGTATATAAATATGTTGTAAACATGTTAAACCATTTTCTGTTCTTTGCTTCATCTCTTAGATTAGTGGAACAAGAATGCCTACACACAGCCGCAGGAATCCAGTTTCCACGGAAACCAAAAGCCTGCCTGCTCAGCAAGTTGAAAATGAAGGAGTGGCTCCAAATAAAAGAAAAATAACATAAGGACTCTACCGTGGAAAATGAAGAAGAAACAGTTATAGCAGTTCAATTCAGAAAAGTTTGAGAGGACACATGCCTAAAAGATCAGTAGACAAGATGAACATTTTTCCTGTAGTGTCCTTGAGAGTTCTTAGAGTGCCTTGAAAAAATGTGTTGGCTGTGTGGGAATGTTTTAACTAAAATGGAATGCTATACTCTTAACTCTTGATGTTTGAGGAGAACCTAGATATGTTTTAACATTATCATGGCAGGGAAATATATAGCAAAGAAAATTATTTTTGTAATAAACCTTTTTCAAAAATTATAAATAGGAAAATAATTTGCTTTTTTTTTCAAGAGCAATACTTATTGTGTGTTATATTAATTGAGCTATATCACCAGCCTGCTGAGAGTGGCTCAAAAGGTTAAGTCTTGCCACTGTCAGAGGTAATTTTGAGCAACATGAAACCTTGTTTCTGACCAATTGTGACAGTTTTTATATATGATTTTTAAATGATGATTGTTGCAGGTTAATAAAGTTAATACCTTTAAAAGCTTAGCAAAATTCCATTGCAGAACTCATCGATGTTTCTGACTCTCTGTCTCTCTCCCTTCCTCTCTGTGAAAAATCAATAAAAATATATTTAAAAAAAAAAAAAAAGGTTAAGTCTTGCCACTGTCAGAGGTAATTTTGAGCAACATGAAACCTTGTTTCTGACCAATTGTGACAGTTTTTATATATGATTTTTAAATGATGATTGTTGCAGGTTAATAAAGTTAATACCTTTAAAAGCTTAGCAAAATTCCATTGCAGAAGCCAAATTTTAAAATAATAAGCTTCCTGCCTTTGAAAAGTTAATAATTTTTGTTGGGCAACCATCAGTTTGTTAAACAGCTTTTATTGTGTTACAGGTTTGATGACCAATACCTCTATCTCTTGGCACAAATCCCAGCTGAGTGTTGAAATATACTGAAAACGGAGATGAGCATGTTTTCCAGAAACATCTCATTATTTCAACTGATAAGGCTAATGTGTGGTAAAACATAAGCTGTTTTTCCCTTATCTATACTGATTAATTTAAATTTTCTATAACCATATCAGTGAATTTGGGAAAGTACATGATCAGCTGATATTAATGTAGCTAATTTGGTCTTAAGAAGGGGTGGACTTATTTAATTTTTATATTCTTGTGCTTTAATGTCCACTAAAGTTTTCAGAGATACATGCAACATTTGTAAAGCAGGTTTTGTAATCTACGGCAATATGAGCTTTGTTTTTGTAATTTTTATGTGTTTTATATTAATATTAGAAATTTACAATAATATAAAAAATCTAGAAATTTCTAGATTCCTAGAAATCTTCCCAACTGTGATAAGAATTGATCATTTTCATCTTTGATTACCAAGTTTTGTTTTGTTTAGACTTTTGGTCAGTTATAAAGTATTTTTATTTAATGAGTAATTATTAGTAAAATTGTTTTATGTATTTTAACATATGATTTCCTCATCCTCCCACTTCCTTTTTAAAACATTGAGCCTCTTTTTTAATGGATTTGGTTTTTTGTTTTATTTTGTTTTTAGCTTTGTCACAGACTCCCATGTCCCAGAAATACTTTAGTTGTGAATCATTTGGCACTTAACCTAGGGAGAGTCAGGGATTCCCTTGGAATTTGCTCTTTTAAAAGAACCAGACGATGATTTCTTCAGACTTCTAAATACCAGAAAGTCTTGGCTTTTCATTTTCTTTTTTTAATACTACTTTTTACTTAGTAAAATGATTGATCTTGCAAGTGATTATTTTGAAATTATCTTAGCTATACATTTAAGTAACTGTGATAATGTATGTAAAGCTAGTCTTAGTTTTCCACTTGTGCTTAAGTAAGCCTTTTATAAAACATATATTTGATCATGTCTTGTGTTCTTGTTCATGATTCTTAGTGCTGAGAATGTGTAAGTAACAAAATGACATTGACAGTATAAGCAAAGATTTTTTTTTTCTCTAAGAACAAAACACTCAGTGTTAGCAAGGATGTGATGAACCTAGCCCATTTATATGTCCATGGTGAAGGTATAATTTATACATACCTCTTGGAAAATATTTAATTCAGTAAAATTTGATCTAAAGTAGGCCCCACTCTTTCATAGCGTGTATGTATACATATATCACAGTATTTATTTGTTTATTTGACTTACTGTCTTTTTTCTTCAATAATAGACTCCATGCTCCGCCAGGACAGGGGCATATTTGTTTTGTTCACCATTATGTAACCACACCTAACATAAGTGTCTGTCCTGTAGTTATTTAGTAAATATAGGTTGGCTGTATGAATAAATGAATGTGTAGATGTCAGGGATAGATTCTTTTCCCCGGAAGCTCACATTCCAATAAAGGACATGATACTGATCTATGTAAGTAAGTGCTCTGGTAAAGTTATATGAGAAAGTCATCTAACCTAGACCTGGTAATTAAGGCAGATTTTCTGAGATAAAGGTTGAGCTGCATCTTTTAAAAATGAGTGAGAGTTAGGTCCTAGCTGGGTAGCTCAGTTGGTTAGAGCATCATCCCAATATGCCAAGGTTGTGGGTTCGATCCCCAGTCAGAATACAAGAATACATACAAGAATCAATCAATGAATGCATGAATAAGTGGAACAACAAATCAGTGTTTCTCCTCTCCCTCTCTCAAAATCAAGAGTAGGAGTTATAAGGGAAGTATGAAAGAAAGCCGCATATGCAAAGGTGAAAGATAAACAGATTATAGGCTGTGGACATAGGAGATGAGAAAAAAAGATATAGGACAGGGACAAACCTGCCATCCTGTGACATTTAAAATTTGTCCTGTGCAATGTGAGAGCAAGTAGTGAATTTTAATAAAAGTAAATAACATTCCCTGACCAGTGTGGCTCAATTGGTTGGTCATTGTCCTCTGCACCGAAAGGCTGCTGGTTTAATCCCCAGTCAGGGCACATGCCCTGCCCGGGTTGTGGGCTCCATCCCTAGAAGGGGGCTTGCAGCAGGCAGTTAATCAAAGTTGCACTCTCATATCAATGTTTCTCTCTTCTCCCTTCTTCTCTCTCTAAAATTAATAAAACTTAACAAACAAATAACATGATGAGATATGTGCTTGGGAAACCTTTTGTTGCCATTAGTCTAAGGCAGTGGTTCTCAACCTGTGGGTCGCGACCCCTTTGGGGGTCGAACGACCCTTTCACAAGGGTCACCTAAGACCATGGGAAAACACATATATAATTACATATTGTTTTTGTGATTAATCACTATGCTTTAATTATGTTCAATTTATAACAATGAAAATACATCCTGCATATCAGATATTTACATTACGATTCATAACAGTAGCAAAATTACAGTTATGGAGTAGCAACGAAAATAATGTTATGGTTGGGGGTCACCACAACATGAGGAACTGTATTAAAGAGTCGCGGCATTAGGAAGGTTGAGAACCACTGGTCTAAGGAATGGAATGGAATGGAATGTAATGGAGCTGGGAAAGACTGTAGGAAGAAAGAAAAATTGGAAATCTGTGCTGTAATTAAAAAATGGTAAAGGCTCTGAGTTAAAGCTGTAAGTATAGGGATGGACTTAAGTGATAATAGAAAAATGATAATTCAGTGATATGGTTGATAGGGAGAGTCAAGTTTGGCCTCATGTTTCTCATTTGGAGTGCTGGGTAAGTGATGGTTTTATGCATTGAGAAAGTAAGAGAATAGGAAGAAATTCAATAAAAATGTTCATTTTCTTTCACCATTTCTATTCCTTGGGTTTCAGGTTTGAATATTATATTTGGTATGTATTGCTACATAATAAATTACCCCAAAATGTGGCTAGTTAAAATAACAAACATGTGTTATCTCAGAGTTTGTGTGTGTCAGGAGCCTGGATGCCGCTCAGCTGGGTGCCTGTGGCTCACATCCTCTAATAAAGTTACAGTCAAGTCCTTGGCTGAGGCTGCAGTCACTTGAAGGGTTGTCTGGAGCTGGAGCATCTGCTTCCAAGAAGGCTCACTGTTGGTGGGGGTGGGATGTCAGTCTCTCACTGGTTATTGCCAGGAATCCTCTCCTCACTGCATGCATCTCTGCATAGGTCAGCTTGAATGTCTTGGCATGGCAGCTGGCTACCCCAGAGAGCAAGGAGGAAGCCACAATATCTTATACCTGAGTCTTGGAAATAAAGCACTGTCTTCTGCCTCATTCTCCATATTAGAAATAATTTAGTTTCACCTCTTGAAGGAAGGAATATAAAAAGAATTTGTGAGCATACATTTAAGCCGCCACAAATGCCATGAACATTTTAGGGATATAGAAGAATTTGGTTTAGGGTAGAAAGAAGAGAAAGGACAACACAAAACATCAACACTAGAGGCTCAGTGCATGAAATTTGTGCACGGGGGGAGGGGGTTCCCCTCAGCCCAGCCTGCAACCTCTCCAATCTGGGACCCCTTGGGGCATGTCTCTCTTACAATCCAGGACTGCTGGCTCCTAACTGCTCACCTGTCTGCCTGCCTGATCGCCCCTAACTGGCCCCCCTGCCAGCCTGATCACCCCTAACCGCATCTGCCTGCCGACTTGATCGCCCCTAACTGCCCCCTGTGCCAGCCTGATCGCCCCTCACTGCCCCCCAGCCAGCCTGACCGCTCCCCACTGCCCCCCCCCGTCCCCCGGATTGCCCCCCCCCCCCCCGCCAACCTGGTCACCCCTCACTGCCCCTTTCTGCCAGCGTGTTCACCCCTCACTGCCCCCCCCCCCATGGCCTGGTTGCCGCCAACTGCACCCCCTGCCGGCCTAGTTGCCCCACGCAGCCTGCTCTGTTGTTTGGTCATCCCTCACTAACCCTCCCTGCTGGCCTGGCTGCCCCATGCAGCCTGCTGCTCAGTCATTTGGTCATCCCTCACTAACCCCCCTGCTGGCCTGGAGCCTGTTCGGTCGTCCATTCAGTTGTTTTGGTTGCGGTGGTTGCTTAGGCTTTTATATATATATATTAAATCTGAGATAGAGAGAGTTGATGTCGAAGATAGTTGATAATTTAAATTTTGAACTTAAGACTGATCGCACCAATACAGATTTGGGAATCAGTGTGTCTTTGATATTTGAAATCAGAAAAAAAGAATAAAATGACATAGAAAATAATGGAATGAAGAAAAGGCCATGAATGGATCCCCAGGGAAAATCACAGAACTTCGGTAAAAGAAGTTTCATTAAAATGGCAAGTATGGAAGTCAGATTGATAAACCTGAGGAAATAAGTACAAAGTGAGGTGGAAACAATCAAAGTCTTCGTTGCCAATTGTTCAGCAAAACTTGGAAATAATTTCACTATTTGGATTTTCTTTTGCAATTGCAAAGGGAATTGACCTGTTTGTTAATTTCCAGTTTCACTTAGATTCCGGGTTCAGACACCTCAAATATTTTAGAGGTAAAAGGAGTTTAGGGTAGAGGGGAAAAGAACACCTTTCCTTTCTAATATTTTATAATCAACATTTTAAATCTGAAGTTTCTGACGGACATACAGATAAAGATATTAAGAGGCTTGATGTGTTA